TCGTAGGGAAGGTAGATCGCTGCCTACTGACCGCTGACCTACTTCAAGGCACAGATCAGACGACCGTTGGTCCTCTGGTGGGCCTGCCCAGGCCTCATTGATCCTGCCATACTCTTCAAATCACGCCTTGAACATCAGAATGTGTGAAATCAGGAAACAGTGGGAGTATCGCAGTGGGAGAACTCCGGCTAAACAGATTGGCTGCACAAAGGGATCACATATCGAACCTGGTGCCTTTTTTTCACAGGAGGACTTCCTAAATGGAAAATATTCTATTATAAGTCATAAGTTAGAAGCGGTGATTCCATGAGAAAAACGGTAACTTCAGCTGTATAGCACAACAATGCACAGAGTCAGTTTAAATCGCTTGAAGATATGATAAGATATGCAGGAAGGCCTCCTGGCCCAGGCATTCAACATTTCGAAAGGACAATTTGTTCCCAGCCAGCCATCACTGTTCATCCCTTGCCTCTGGAAGATCTACAAGGAAAAAAGAACCCCTGCAAGGTTTGCAGGGCCCACTTGTCGCTCCAATTCATTCAAACAAGCTTTGATCACCAAACGTACGTAAGGATGTTGTTGCGCTAAACGCTGAAGGCCTGCCTGTGCATCAATTGGATCCTGGTGTGACTCGAGAACCTCACAAACCTGCTCTCGAATCCTGCAGGGGCAAAGCGAATCAAAGCAAATGATCCACATGCCAGAAGGACTATGCAAGGCCTTTGAGTTCGACCGCTTTCTGGCATCCTGGTCGTCAGAAGCAGAGTTTTCAGTGTTTTACAATTACCATGTTGCAGCTACAACTGCTACAAAAAGACACACACAGGCGTTTCATGGCGTTTTAATTTCCGGCGCGCCAGTCCTCTTGCGTCTTGTCACCTTTGGTCTGCCGACATCTTCTTTGGCGTGCATTAGGTGACAAAATCCACATCTGTTGCCCAGGCTGCAGCCATAGTTGGAGAAGAAGAATACGCAGGGATTGCAGTCACCGGTCATGTGGCCCGCTGCACCCCACGAACACAACGGCGCCAGCTGCACGTCCGGCTGTTGTGGTGCCAGCGCCAGCCGCACGTCCAGCCGCTGGAGCATCAATGCCTGAAGGCCAGGCTTTGGCTGAAGGCCAGGCTCCAACGGCACCTGCTCCAGGGTTATGAGTTGCAATTGTGTCAAGCAGTGGCGTTATGTTCACCTGCTTGAAGGGTCCCAGGATACGTTTGTTTGCGAAGCCTCTTGCGGCTCCCAGGTTTTGTCTGGCTCTTCTGAATTCCCCCGAGAACAACAACTAAGGCTCACCGCGCCAACGAGTAACCCTGCGAGCGGAAACGATGATGGCACCAAACACAGAAGGGTCCAACATCCAAAACTCTCCATGTTTATCGATGTATAGTTCTTGTCGAAGTTCTAGCGCCTCACCCATGTTGAACATCTTCCAATAGGTCACCCATTGAGCTACACCCATCGAACACCCAATTTTTGTTTCACCCCTCGCTGCGCCAAAACCTCACCATGGCTGCCATGTCTCGGTCCCCCCCTTCCACCGGGACGGATCTGTGCGCACGCACTCTTCTCGGCCTCACCAAGCATGGCGGTCTCCCAGTCGCCGGTGCTCGAGCCAAGAGATGCGCTGGGATGCGAGAGGCGCGCAGTGAAAAAGGCACCGGGACATCGGATCCTTCAGGCAGATGGAAACAAACCACAACCACGCAGGAAAAAGAGACCTCACAGATCGAGGCAACACCCCGGCTTCAGGTGTTCCTCTCATGGTTGGTCTTTGTTGAATGTATTCTCATGATATTTTTTCATCAATGGGGTCTTGTTCGCAATGGCCATCCTTCCGACTCACAGAATCTCAGATCGGCCGGTGGTGATGGAGAAGCTATTCCCCTCGGGGGGGCTGGCGCAAAGCCCAGAGCGGATCCCCCCCGGATGAACCACGCGTTTGCAGGGACGGACGGGCGGCGATGAAAAAGGGGAAGGCCTCATTCGGAATGGCTGGACTGTAGGTTATCTTGGAAAGGTGTAGAAGACAAACACTCCTTTCAGTCCTCCTTTGCCATACAGGCAAAAAGATCTGGTTCGACTTCTCGGCGTGCTGCGGTTCAAATAGTGTTCATATCAAGAAACAATAAGACACATCTCATTGCGCGCAGGCACAACAGTGCATTGACAAACCTGTCAGGAAGAAAAGTGTCTGCACCTTCAGTGTGTGTGTGTGGACAAACCACTCTGGAAGGCACCAAATTGCAATACTCCATCCATTCCATCAGTTTGGCCCCCCCCAGCGGAGCCTGCCTGATCAACAAAACTCCTGGACTCCACCATTCCTCGCCGAAATTCCACACCGTCCCATCCCTCCCATGAGCCTGTGGCAAGGCGAGCAACCAGGTCATGCTTCAAGGCGAGCAGCCTCTGCGGGTCTTGCGCCAAGCCCCCCTATCAATTGAATCCGTTGCTTAAAGCACACAGATCCCATCCCCATATATTTGTTTGCTGGGAACCCTTCACATTAGTAATATAATGTATAATACATATATATATATATAATTGCAATATATAGCCCTACTGCCCTTACTTATTTATACAATATATATATATATATATATCCTTGTTTCAAATTCAAGGGATCCACTTCCTTTTCGACCCAGCCACCCAACAGCACATGCCAGGCGGCACGGCCTCAGCCAGCTAAGCAATACCGGCACCGTGCTGAGCGCTCGCAGGCTCTGCAGGTTGTGCCAGACTGGATCCCCTGGGCACTGGGCACAGCTTTGAACCAACAAGAAAATTGAATGTTCAAAACCCAAAGGCAGGCACAAGAACTGTCATCTGGTGATGGATCAATCGCTGGCAGAACCTTTGAGATTCTTGTCCACTTGCTTTAGTCAAATTGGAAAGGATGTACTTGCGCATGTATATCTGTCCAAATACACCAAATTTCAAACGGCCAGGCACCGAACCTGGACGCTCCTAGGGTACTTGTAGGTCGCTATAATATAGTCACTCCGGCCCCCAGTTCAATCGTGTGAACCTCCATCTGGGGTTGCTCGGAAATAGAATCCGTTATTTAAATAGAAAGCAACACAGAGAATCACCCAATCCGGGGGTTCACAGCATGAGGATTCCCAATCCGAAAAGCCATCCAAGACAAACCCTGCGTCCAAAAGTTAACAGAGCCTCAGAACATCTGTGGAACTGGGACAAACATGTTGAGCTTCGACCCCTGGCTCATCCCCTTCTGCTTTTCAGACTCTGCTCTGACCATCGCACGGACCCGGTGAGAATGAGTGCTGCAAGCAGCTCTGCCAGGCACTGAGCGCCAAGCATCGAGCGCCAAAATGCACGTCCCTCGTGGTCCAAACCTGGAGTTTCAGTCCGTTTCAGCTGGGGCCGAGCCCAACCTGTGCGGGCCGAAGGGTCTCTCCCACCAAGCCACCGGACCAAGCCCGCATCCACCCGGCCCACCTATTCAAACATTGAGGTTTTGACAGCCAGGGGATGCTGAAGGTGCCTTTGTGCCGATTTGCGCCTGAAGGTGTCTTTTTGCCTGGAAAATGAGACCAAGAAAGGAAAACGGCACTGGTCCCTTCGGTCCCTTCGGCCCCTTCGGCCCCTTCGGCCCCTTTGGTCCATTGTTTTCTTGGAGCAATAGGGCCATGTTCCATAGGCCTTCGAGAGGGCAACAACCGCTGGAATCGCGTGAAATCACAAAGGCAAGGACCACACTCCGTGTCCCTGATATGGAAGGGGACTTCACCACTTCCATGATTTGTTCAGGGAGTTGTAGGCATATTGGATCCAATAACCCACAGACAAATGTAATACGGAGACCATCAGCGGGCCAGATTGAGCAGGACCTTGCAAAGGAGTTCATCTCTTGCACGCCTATTTCCTGTTAATTGCCTTTCAGTTCTTTCGTCAGACCGCCGCCACAGTTGACTGGCCAAAACTGGGGTCACCCTGAGTTACGCTCTGAGTCAGAGCAAGTGATTCAGATCAGCCAACCCAGGAACGCCGGTGTTCTCGAACTCTTGGCAGTCCCAAATGATCGGTTGGACTCACTTATGTCTAGTCTTGGAGATCTGTGCCAAGAGTCTGTGGCTATTCTCTAGCCTATTTGAGACTCCAGGTGTTTCAGCGCATTCCTCGCCGCCTAGGACCTAGGACCTAGAAAAACACCTGCTTGCACTGGCGCTACCTACCACCGTTCCATCCGTTTTGTCCCCGCCTATAAACCTCTTAATAGCGGACTCGACCGGCTCGACCAGGACTCGCACCCTCCCCTCCGGTCCCCTCCGCCCTTTCTCGGTGGCCTCCAGTGGTGGAGCAATCGCTTCTGCGCCTCAAGGCGTGCAAACCTGGGCGCTCGACCAGCGGGGAGGTGTTGGATGGTGGCAACCTCGACACAAGGACCCCCTGACTCACTGACACCTGCAAAGGTTGCTGATCACTTTGTGCACCATTGCGTTCTACAACTGTTGCAAGCACGAGTCTGTCACAGTAAGTGTTTCCACCAGCTTTTTGCGGCGTCCCAGGAACTATCGACTCCATCGTGGTTGGTGGAGACCGGAAAATACCCGTGACAGGTCAGGGCCATGCCCCATGAGCCCAAGCATCCTGCCACCTGCAGTTATTTGGAGGGTCTTTCCCCATTCTTCACTCACTTAAGCTCCAATTAAAAGACATTGAAAGAACTCCTGTCTTCCTCATTCACGCTCAGAGCCTCCCTCCTGCCACCCAAGACACTGCACTCACGCTGGCGAGCCCACAGACGCTAGACAGCATTGGCTGTGGCAGGAGGGTATAGGGCGTTCCTCGATCCTTCGGCCAAGAAAAGGCCAGGTTTGAAAGCGAGAGACGTGGGCAAACATATAGGACCTATGGCATCCAGGTAGACGGTCTACCTACCGCTGCCACCTCGCCGGAAGGTGTGAAAGGGTCATTGGGGTCTGAACACGCGCCAAGCAACGCAGAGTTACACCTGCATCGACTCCAGATATAAATATGCACGTTGGATAAAACGACTCACGAAACCGTACTTCTGTGGTCATCCTATCTTTTATAGAACCGCCAGGTAGATTCCGAAGGCAAAATAAGTAAGGTATAGTAAGGTATAGTAAGGTCACGATCAACACGTACCCTTATTAGTTTCCCTATGTTTCCCGCCTATCTGTGCTAAAATTGAAGTGATATGGTATTATTTAGTAGCCCCCCCTCTCAAGCCCCCCAGGAATAATTTGGAAACTATTCTGCCCCCCCTCGACATGGCTTTCTGAAAATTCTTCTGGGAGTGCTTCAGTTGCTGCAATAATTGATGAGGCGTTGCCACAGAACCCCCTGCGAGGCCGCAGTAGGAGTTGGTAAGGTTTGATGTTTTGGGTTGGTTTCTTCTTTCCAGGGACAGACAGGGCAGATTATACTATTCCAGGCCCCGCCAGAACAGAATCACCCCTGGAATAATTTCTGGTGGATATGGAGATTGTATACAGGTTAGGCTGAGTTAGCTGAGTTAGCCATCACTGCATCAGCGAAAGTATGCCAAAGTATTCATGATTATTCTTGAAGCGTTAAAACATGTTAAGACAGATTGTTTTAGTAGCAATGAAAAGTGCGCAAAAAAACCTCTCCAGTGTCTTTCTGACATTCCGGCATCGCCAGAGGCCAAGCTTGAGTCATCGAGCTTTTCGGCAATGGTTTTGTGTCTTGGGACCCCTTGTCACGTTCGTAGCTTTTTGCGTTACTAGTAGTAATGCCAGGAGCACCCCTAATTAGTAGCTTCTTATAGCTTCTTGCTACTAGTAGCGATGCCCTTTGTTACGAGTAGCGTCCTTGCTCCTTCCTCTGACAACTCACATCAATTCACTGTAAATATATGTATACCTCTAGTTATAGATTATGTTGAAAATTATTCCAAGGGTACCCTTGACCTACCCCCCAGCAGTTTATTATTCCTAGAAATTATTCTGAACAAATTATTCCGTGAACCCACAGGACCCCTGGAATAATTCAAGAAATAGTCCCATATTTGAAGTGGATTCAGAAGATTCGAAACATGTCGTCTGTCCAATGCCTCCACATTATCATGAAGAAATGGGCTGAGACTCTGTGAGACTGGGGTGACTGGGTGGCGTGGCTCGAATTCCTAGAAGATCTTAAACACCAAGGAAACTATGCCAAATTCTCGGCCGTCCTTCGCCGGAAGCTGGCTAGGCCTGGTGCAATTGGCGCGTCATCAAAGCTACATGCACACATGTGGGATGGAAATGCAAGCGCCGGACGTCCAAGATGTTTTTTAAAGAAACACATATGACTCTTATTCACTGTGCTTCAATCACGCGCTGGCTTCCTTCAAGCAAGTTTGTTCTGAAGAGACCCCTGGAATGATTTCTTGGCACTATACATATATGTATATATACATACACTTTGCGGAACAACCTACAGTGCACACCTTTGAGTTGCTCTCAACGAGTGACTTTTCCTACCACCGGGAATTGATCGCATACCGGTTTCTGGAGTCATCCCATTAAAAATGCAAACACACTATCACTAAAAACACGTTAGGGCGGGAATACCATCATCCTCTCGCACCTTGGAAGACTGCCCTGTCTGCACAGACTGAAGACCGAGTTTGACTTGGGGTCCACGCAAAATCCCGGCACTTTCGTCATCCAATAGGAAGAGAAAGTCGCACCCCTTCTCCTATGCAGAAGCTATCAAATTTTTGGCTTGTGAGCGATGCTGCAAGTATATGTAAATATACCTTCCTTACAAATCAACCCTGGCAGCCAAAAACATGTCACAGCTGCACAAAAACTAGAAGAGCCCCAAGGCGGGTATACCTCAAAATCTGGTCAACTCTTTGTCCAGCTCTGAAATCTCAATCCTCTGCTTCTACAGTTCGACAGCAGTGCAGCCGCCTGAGATGATGAAACATCCAGCACAAAGGTCAGAACGGATCCCAAAAAGCGGCCCTGGTGCTCCCCAAACCAGTAAGTAAGCATAGCAGCAAAACATGGGGGGTATATATTCAAAAAGCGTATTGTTGACCTCGTTCTTCTCTCATCTTCTCTCTATCAGTTTGCTCTGACAAGTGGCTGCATCTCCTTACTGTCAATTGCCGCTCCGTTCCGACTTCTGGGGCCTGGCAGTGACCCAATCCGAACAAGAAGATGATACATCACATGGACACATCGGGACGCCAGTAGGCCCATCGGCCCCCTTTCAAGGGGCAGCCAACATGTTCAAATCTGCCAGCACTTCACCTCTCTCCTGCCACGCTCACTGATCGAACTTCTCAATTGTCGAGCCTGGATAGTCTAAGCCCAACTGGCCTTGGTCCAGTTTCATTGGTATTATCATCACGACCCTTCGTTCAATTATTCTATCAGCTGACACTGACACTAGCTCTTGACTGTTCCCTGGCCATTGCTAATTCAAATTGATAGCTATTAGATGCTATTAGGCTATACCTAGGTATTCAAGGATCTACACGCAGCTCAGCTGCATTGCCGCGAACCGTCCATAAGTCTTCATACAAGTGACCGCTCTGTGTTGTACTGTACTGGAGACTCGAGACGGGCACACCGTGTCTTTCGGGCACACGGGCACGTCTCCTGAACAGACCATTACTCACTTTTTGAACACCCGAAAGGCGCTACAAACATAACTGTACAAAGGGCGCGTGAAACAAAAACGTGCTGGGTGATTCTTGTTTGATCGGGCTGCTCTTTGCGCACAGTGTGCCAGGGAATTCCAGCTGTCAAATGGGACCCGACCTGTGAACGGCTGTGACCCAAACAAATTGTTGATGAACGGGAGCTAGCTATCTGAGACAAGTCCGCCGGACTTCAACGAGGCCTTCGACGTAAGAACAAGTCGCGTGGATGTCACAGCCTGAGCTCTGTGGAACTGCAACTGCCCTGTCAGTTGCACAACATATTATGGGCTGGGTGGGTCAAAACCTAAGCCTCCAAATCACCACGGCCACCTAGCTGCATTCTTCATTTCATACCCTCCAGTTGCGCAAACCCTCTTAGTATCTTTCCATATGGTGAAGGGGCCAGAAGGATAATGCCGCAACCACCAGTCCGCAGGCGAGGAGGCTCCCTCTGGACCTGATTTCTCGTGATTTTGGGTGGTCCACAAGGGAGTCCAGGGTTAATAACTCACAGCCATATGACAACTGCAAAATCTCCAAGTGGCAAGGATTGGATCATCAAAGCACCATCGGCTTCGGGAACCTTCGGGCTCACTGCCTCTTGGGGGACAAAGGCTTCTTGAGAATCCAGGGTTTGCTGAGAGGTGTTTGGCTCGGGTCGCGGACCCTTGTGGCATCAGACTTCCTCCTAAGGTTGTCAATGTTTGTCCATTGGATGTCTGAATGTTTGCTAGCTGGACAAACAAATGATAAATGATAAATGCTAAAAGCTGCTTGAGCACCCACAAAAGTAAATATATTATAAAAGCATCTCTGTCCATGAGCTCACACGCTCACAGAGGCATCGCTCCACATCACTTGTATCATCTTGTATCAATCTGGAATCTGTGAGCATTAACTCCTTCCGCACCTTTTGGGCCAACAAAGTTCATCCAAGACTGGACCAAGTGCCTTCAATATAGACTAGTTCGCGGCTGGCACCTGGGGTAAAGGAGCTTGTGTATATTCCCCTTCTCCTTTGGAGAGTGGCACCGAATTAGGTCACATGGAAGGTGAAGCAAAGGAATGCACGAATCCTTCGGTGTATGAGCCTCTTTGCCGGGCTCATAGGTCAGCCTGCCAAAACCACAAGTGCTGTGGGTCCATGCCAAGATCCTTCAGTTTGTTTTCTGAAAGTTCAGCAAACTTCTCTTCCAAATAAGCCTCACGTTTGCTGAGTCTGTGGGACAGAAGCTCTTTTCGAGTGTAATGAAAATCTATATCTCGGCCTTGGCTCCAAAAATCTGAAGTACGCCATTCTGCGAAGCCTTTTGCTTGACGAAGTGTCCCACTCAAGGTACACCCTTCCAGCTTAAATTGCCCCTCTCCAACAGAACCGATCCACTCCTCTTCTGGGTCGAAAATGTGAAGCTCACTGCCATCATGATGTGCATCTGTTTTTTTCGAATATCTCTTGTATCTTCTCAAACAACTGCCGTCACGGCAAAACAAGAACGCATGCTCCGTATATGATGTGTTCTCAATAATGAGTTCAACAACACTTGAGTCATGATGATTGTACTGCCAAATGAGGCAATCCTTCTTGGGGTATGGGCAGGTGGATGGGACTGCCATCAACTGCTCTCCGGGAAGGATCTTTCTCAACATCTCGAAGGCTTCTGCCGTAGATCGTCTTGAAGGATCAAAGCTTAGCTCGTATATGGGAGTCTTGATGCTGTTGTGCCCAGTATCCCAAACCACACTTGCACGAGATTGCATTTCCTTCTTCCCTGCAACTGTTTCAGATGCTGAAGGCAAAGGTGCAGTTGAAATTTGCGCAGGTGCACCATGTGTCTTAAGCGTTTGAGTTGCTGTGCCTTTGAAGAGACCACCTTCTTTGCCCTCCTCAAACTTTCCTTGATGAGATTTTGCCTGAATCTCCTTCACAACCTGGGCAGCGGCTCCGGTGGAAGATTCGATGCGCCCAGCGGACTCATCAAACTCGCCTGCCATCAGTTTGCAAAGGGCCAAGTGCTCCAGCCACCCACCCGACACGTACTCATTCACGACCAACGCCATAAGCTGGGCACGTGTGATAGTCTGGTAAAGACAAGCGCGTGTTGCCAGGGCAGCAGCACTACCTGCATACATGGGGCCATTTTCACGAACGCAGCTATATTTTCAACCAGGGGTCCATCACTCAAACAGTTTACTCAAACATGCACACATGCCCGCACGCCCGCGCGAGCGCACGCACGGCCCTTGGAAAGATGTGTCAGAAAGTATCTCAATCGCAAAGGAATCCCGAAGAATTTGGCGGGTGGTGCCTCCCCATCCTTTAAGTCGTTACGACGACGAAGCAAATGCGCTCATTCCCAGACCTGGTGCTCTCCTGAATGCAAAGACTAAGCGTCAAGTCCCATCAGCCTGGAGCATATATGTAGCACTCTGTCAAGACTCGGGAGCAGTTTTCGGTTGAAGAGGTTATATAATATGGTTGAATGCAGCATCACTGCTTTGACATGCAGGACAGTGCAAAATGCTGCCATGTATAGAGTCTCTGTTTACCAAGACGACCACTGCTTAATGGAGCACGCAACAAATGCCAGGACGCTCAATCATTCCGCAGAATCCAACCTGGTCGTCAGTGTCAAACCACGACACCCTCTATTGGGATCAAGATATACCGCAAATTCTGTAGAGGGTTGCCTCTTAGTGGCTATCAATGGGGCAAACGGTTCGCACTGATGCGTTTCCAATAAACCCTTCAGACCTGAAACCTCTGAGGGAACCAACTTTGTCAACCAACCATCAAAAAGCTTGTGGAGCCGGCCAGGTCCAACCGGTAAAGGTTCAACGAACTTCACTGTCTCATCAGGACGGAACAGCTGCACCTTGCGAACGGCCATGGGGGGAGGTCCGGCAATGGAGGTGAGTCAGGCGAGCAACTAGACTTGGAGACTCAAAATAAGCAAAAGCAAGGTTTCGTCAATAATGCATGCCAACTGTCAAATTCAACTGCTACTAGTAGCCTGCAACTTCCACAGTTACACAAAGCGAGAACTGGTAAGTAATCCATACTGCTGGCATGCTGCATGCAAACATGGAAGGCTAACCGCTCAGACTTGTTCAACAAAGACTCACAGTCAAACAATAGGTTTCGCACCACTAAGTTAAGCGAGTCAAGAAGATGACCTGATTGAATCAAGTGAATTTATTGGTTTAAGATTATTGACTCCTGTCTACTATTGACAAGTGCTTACCTAACTTCTCAGATCAAAATCAATCAAGCTCACTGTCGGCGTGTACTGGCAGCTAGCGACTCATTCATTGAACAGTGACTACTTTGTTGAAAAAGCAAAATGCTTGAACATTAGCAGGGCAGCAGCAGCTTTTTTCCACGAGCAACTGACAGGGTTAGAATTTTAGACTGGCCCCCTGGCCAACCAACAGGATAAAATTAAAAAGTCTTATCATCATATTGTCAAATCTGTGAGTCTTGGGCTCGACCTGCCAAATACCGCCATTCTTTCAAAGGTCCGGCCTCAGCTGCGAGTGAGTTGTCAGCAAGTTGCAGTCCAGCTTGATTCGCTTGGCCCGTCCAGTCTCCAGTCACAGTCAGTACTGTTGTCCAATGGCCCTTCCTCTCTCAAATGTCCTGCTTCAAGCTCACCTTGGGCACATTGCACTGATGAGCGCAACACAGGCTCGGTCCGACTCTGCCTGCACACAGGCTTTGATAATGTCCGGCAAGTGACGGCGATCTCCGTCCAAGCTTCGCTCGTCCAGCCGGCGTTGCAAGACCCGCCGCAAGTGCAACAGTGTCTCCTTAGTACAACCTCCTTCTGAGACATCCTCCAGAGCTTGGTCTGGCCATAGTGAATTTGCTGTGAAGGCAAACATATCCCAGGCAATGCCTGCCAACGACCAGTTGTCCGCTTTTAGCCCGATGTTGACCTGAGTATACATCAACAGCTGGTGCAATCTGATGTGGGTTGTCTAGTCTCCTCTCTTCCAAAAAAGGCCATGGGGCTGGTACACATGGAGTTCTTATTGGCAAGCAGTCTGCTTAGCTTTTGTCTTCACAAAAAGGTTTTGTAATGAAGCTGGGAACACCAAGAAATAAGCATTCAATGAATAGGTGACCAGCCAGCTCCAAGCTGAAACGCATGAATTATGTCCAAATGAAAAGGGCCAAGGATGAGATAACAGCTTGCCCAAACAACTGCATAGAAAACAACAGTGAGCAGTATCTAAGAATAACATGAAAAAATGATTTCAGTTGGCATTGAAAGCGCGTTTGTCATTTGAAGTCGTCACACTTTGCACTGCATTGCATGCTTCAGCCTGATTCTTCCTCTCCTTCTTGTGAAAGTCTTTGCTTAGTTGCACTGAACTGGGGTCCAGGCCCTTTTTCCACCAGCTACTAGGCATTCCAGCGGCCGGTAGCCAATTGTGTAAACGCTGTTACCACAAACGGCGACCTGCCCAGAAGAAGTGACTGACCGGCTCAAACAAAAGTCTGCAATGGCAGCCCGACCGCCGTCCAAAAACAGGATGTTGTTGGTCTTGAGGTCGCAGTGCGCGACCTTCTTCGCTTGAATGTGGGCAAGACCAGCCAAGACCTGCTTAAAGAGTTTCCAAACCTGGAACTTTATGTCCGACCAGGGCTCGTCCGACTTCTTCAGCATCAAGCAATGCTTCTGGAGGTGGCTTGCAGCCACCTCCATCAGCATGCCCACGCATCCATCCGGCAATCTCAACAGCTGAACAACATCTGGGGTGTCCAGCCAGCTCTTTCATAATGGCATGCTCCCTGGCAAGGTCTGCGCACCGAAAAGCCTCAGACACAGGCCCGTCCAACAAGTCCGGCTCCTACGCTTCCTCCTGACCAGCCGCCTCCAATATGAACGGTGGGCCCTGCCCCAGCAAAGACTCTGGCGCAAGTGGCTCTGACAAAGTGAAAGCCACGTGGTCAGGTCTTGACCGGTCACCTTGGTCCGACTCGTCCGATGGCCGTTGCTGAAGCCTCCGGCCTTGTTGGCGCTTCCACTTCTTTTCCTGGTTTGCCGCATACGCGTCCTGCGCCCTCTTGTTGTATAGAGGTCCCTCAAGCCCGGCCTTTTTCTCCTTAGCTCTACTTTCAACAGTCAGTGGCAACAGCTTGCTAAGCTTTTACCACCTGTACTGGTCACGTAAAAGATTAACTGTTAGCTAGCTGTGCCAGTTGCAAACTAGACGACGAGTGGCCCGAAAGCATTTTTCATCACGTAGGAAGTCAGAGTGCGAGTTATCTGTTAAGTGTGCAGTGTGAAGTGTTAAGTCGAGTGAGTTGAGGTAGTGTGTGGGTTTCTGTGCGTGTATCTATGTCCGTGTGTATATGAGTCTGCGTCTGTGTGTGTTCGTGTAAGTTGAGGCAGTGTGTGGGTGTCTGTGTGTGGTGCGGCCTCCCAAACCCCCCACCGGCGGCCAAGCGGTGACAGCCCAGCTCATCGTCATGAGC